AAGCCCCGACTTCATATGACACAAGTAGCGTCAATCAACTCTCATCGTTNGATGGATTAGTNGAAAGTGTGTCAAAAAAGGTTCCNGATTGGTTATACAAGCCAGCAATAGCCAGAGACTTCCCCAGACCNAGAGTGCCATCATCACCNGAGCTCATTCANAGATACGAACAGAGGCGCAAGTTTTTCAGTGCTTATCCAGGAAGAGCAGTTCTTGTGTGTATAGGTGCATTGATCACTTTAGCAACCCCTTCGAGAGCTCCTACATTTCTCACGATACCTGTGCAGTTTGTCGCCCTGTCGATGATTGCTTTACACGTCATACTACTATTCATCTGGCTATTTGGTGTAAATGGAGCAGCAGCTCATATTTACACTCCAACNGAAGAAGAATACAACAAGATAAAGGANAATCTGGCCACACCCGAAACAATGCCCATATTACCTGCNGAAAGAAGAAACGAGTTTGGTCAGAAAGTTGGTTTATTTTGGTCGAGCACTATACTTTCTCCACCTACTTGGGCATTAATACTGGGTCTATTAGATTCAGGAGTGTCTGCTCCTGTAGTTTCCTTAGCAGTCTGTATTGGTGGTTTCGTAGCAGTAGCATTAACTACGTTACTTGGACACCCCTCAGTCAGATTTGGAGTTCCTCTACCAGTCATTTGTCATTCCAGTTTTTCGTTNGAATTGATTCATCTTCCACTGAATATCAAGTTAGCGTTGGGATTGCTTTGGTTTGCTTTGAGTTGTTGGATCGGAGGAGAGTCACTTACAGGTGCACTCACTATCTTTCTTCCCAACACAAGCCCACTATTTATTCGGAGTACTGGTTATTCATTATTCTGGTTGTGGCATTTATTCATGGTTTGGATATANAATGGAACGAGAAAACCGAANGAAACCAAGATTCACTTTTGGAATTATTGGTTGCCAGAAAAGGCGGTTCCCGAATTGTTATACAAATACGTGCACTACTTATTTCTTCTTCTTCTCCTTGGAAGTTGTTTGGCAGTTTCTCAATTCAGTCATTTGACTCCCATGACTTTGATNAAGGAAGCTTATCATCGTATAACAATACCAGGAGCTATGAAGTTTGGTATTTTATTTCCTTTAGTGAATGCATTTGCTTCGCTGTGGAGTTTCCAAATCCTTACGGCTCCNAATGTTGCNAGCAGACTGCCTTCTCAATTGAGTCATTTAACCTCAACTTTAGGTGGAATTATTCCAAGTACCTTTGGTATTGCACTATTAAGTCCACTTGTGGTGTCTGCTATCGTACTAACTTTTGGAAGTTATGCCTCACGAATGATAATTTCTTCCCCTACTTTACTCATATCAGCTGCAGGACACACAACTGGTTCAGTTGCAATCAAATTGTTGATGTTTTTATTATTAGCTGCAGTGGCATTCGCCTCAAATATGCGAGCCTGCATGGAAACATTATCCCAGACCATTCGACTGCGTTTTCTTCATCATGTAAATTCAACTCGAATTTCCACTACAATTGGTATTCTACTTTCGATATTATGCCCATGGTACTTGTTATGTATTCGTCCGAATATTCTTTCACATATTTGGATTCCAGTGATGGGAACGCTAGCTGGACCGTTGACAGGTGTGCTACTTTGNGAATATTTTATTGTTCGTCGAATGGACTTGAAATTTTANGATCTCTACAGTCCTTANGANAGCAAATACGAGTATTTCAACTTTCAGAATCCAGTTGCTTCTATATCTGTAATCCTTGGTATGTTGCCATGTTTGCGAGGTCTCTTGGGTGCTCTTGGTATCTATCCTGGTGCTTCGAAACTTGCTCTTCAACTGTGGCATTCGTCATTCTTCAGTACCATGATATCTGGAGGAACTTTATATTATCTTATCACTATGTGGTACCGTTATTGGCACAAGTTGTTNGAATGGATAGTAAGTATGATTTGTTTTTTACATGACCCAATTGATTTGTGTGGAATAGCTTTTCAAATTGTATCCAATGGAAGTGAAAACCAACAAGAAGCTGTAAGTCTATTGTATTTACAGGCAAAGACTCTTTTTGACGTGGTTTGTGAATAGGTTCAAAATACATTTTTGACTGTGTTCTTTTCCACATCTAATAAAGGAAACTTGTTGTTGTGCTCCAATTATCCCGAATTGAAGAGGGGCATATTATATGGATAGACATTTATTATGGCGACAGATTCGTCGTTCACTTGCACAGAGTCCTGTTAGTAGTGGTCTTTTAGCCATATTTGCTGGCACAACTCTATATTTTGGAATAGATACTTTCTATAAAAGGGTTGCTGGAGAGTTGGTGAGTGTCTTTTGTCATTGAAAGTGGCACTGGGGGTTGATTTTTCACGTTAGGATGAACCTATCCAACAGCGAAAGGAGTTTTATAGAATGAAAAGAGAGAAAACTAGACAAAAGTTGGAAGCTTTGGGAGTGTATACAGATGAAACTGAAGAAAACGACAGAAACAAAGTTTTATAAAAGGACAGCTATCTCGCTTTAAAAACACAAGAAGAAAATAACTTTCATAAACAAACAGAAGAGGTTACTTTCCACAGAAACAACAAAAGGTTTCGTACTCAAACCTTCCCTGGTTGAACATAGGATTTGTTTATAAACTCTCCATTCTCTACGATGAGATCCTCCTTCTTCTGCGGAACTCCATCCAAATAGCGCTGAATAATATCCTAGCGTCAACATCGTTTAACGTTGTACAAACTATTTCAAAGCATAAATACCTTTGTGCCATCAGCATAACGTTTCTGTGCATCTAAAGTCGTTCCTGAATAATGCGGCGTCATTCCATGTCTAGGCATGGTGCGCCATGGATGGTCTTTTGGAGCAGGTTGTGGGTACCACACATCACCTGCATAAGCACGAACGATTCCGCTGTTCACTGCTTCTACCAATGCATCACGATTTACTATAGCACCTCGAGCAGTATTCACCAAGTACATTCCCTTTTTCATTTTATCAAAAACTTCCTTATTGAACAAGTCTCTCGTACTATCATGTAGAGGACAGTTCACAGTGATCACGTCGCATCTTTTAATCAACTCTTCAAATGTGACTCGTTTAGCACCTATTGCAGCTTCTCTCTGGGGATCCAAAGGCTGATAATCACTGTACAACAATTCTTTGCAATCAAATGGCTTCAACCTCTGCAAAACTCGATATCCAATTCTTCCAACTCCAACTGTTCCTACCACTTTTCCTTCCAAATCAAAAGCATCCTTGGCAATAGCAGCAACATCCCATTCTCCCTTAATAACTTGAGTATATGCAGGAAGATAATTCCTCACAAGAGCCAATATTTGCATAACAACATGTTCTGCCACACTCACAACGTTGGAACCAGTTACTTCCGCTACAGTGATCTTGGCCTTGTTTGCAGCGTGCAAGTCGATGTGATCTGATCCAACACCTGCTGTCACACACAACTTCAGTTTTGGAGACTTCTGTATCCTTTCGGCAGTTACATAAGCTGGGTGAAACGGGGTGGTAATCAGGATTTCAGTGTCGGCTAGCTCCTTATCCAATAGTTTTTCCTTGTCTGACAAAACAACGAATTTGAAGCCTCTTGATTCCAAGAAAGATCTCAGACCCAGTTCGTTCTCCTTGCATCCAAGTAGTCTGGGTTCTTTGGCAGAGTTCCCTGCCTCGTATAATACCGCTACTGCCTTTCGTGACATTTTCAACAATAAAAATTTCTCCAACAATGGGTAGAAGAAATGGCTGGGAGATTATGGAAGAAATCCTGAACAACGGTGAGGAAAAAAATGCTAGTCCACGTGGCCTCTGTGATGGGCGCGCAGTTCTGTGCTGAGGATCGTGTAAAGAATCTCTTGTTGTAGAATGACTGAGGGCTGTAACAATTGTTTTGAAAATGCTTATTGGAAATATTTGCAGTGTTGTGAACGACATAAAGTAGAACCAGACCCCACTATTTGTATGTCTTTGTACATACAAAATGGTTGTTTACTGTTTTCAAAGAATTTGGAGGGTCACCAAATCATTCCTGTATTGGAACTAGCGAAAGCAGATAGTCTTCAATGGGTAGAAGAGCTTTCATATCATAGTGAAGTAGTTCGTACTCTCGCTTGTTCAAACTCGCTCAATTAAGAAACAGGTCGCCGTATGTCCCCTCTTACATCGCTGTTGTTGATGAAACTTTGTGAAACGTTGCCTCAGTTGAAGGTTATAGTTGTCGCTAGAAAAATATAGAGAGAATCTTACGAAAAATTTAGGTTCTGAACGTTTCTGGAACGTTTTTGGGGGACGAGAATGGTGCAGCGTTATGTCAAGTCTTATCCAAGTGTGAAAACTTGACAGAGTTGAGACTAGCACACTGCAAGGTATCTATTTCTCACTAGAACGACGAACCGAATGAGAATAAGTTTTTCATTTAGTTGAGAAGAAGAAGTACTCAAGCCTTGATGCAACATTTTCGAAAGAGTTGTTGGCCAAAGTTGCAAGTTTTGGATGTTCGGAATAATTTGTTGTGCCAAGAGGACGTGGAACTGTTAAGAAGCGTGGCAAAGGTTGGTAAAAGGGTATGATATTCTGCTTGCTTTGAGTTATCCTTTGATAGTCTTGCTCTTTTTCGTTGCTCGATGACGGCAATCGTTTAAGAGATGAAGTTTTGAATAGTGTAACCCATGGTGTCGGCTTTCTGTCTTCTATATTTGCAGGCTCTGTAAGTATGCTCATTGTAATGTTAGAGGTGTAAAATAATGTCTTTATAGAGTCTTGTTCTTCGTGCACAGAATTTGCAACGACTGGAACGTTTAGGAATCTATATCTATGTGCTTTCTCTCTGTTTGATGTGTGTAAACGTTGTTTTTTTAAACCATCTTGCGTATAATCTTTTATTCGATAGGTTTGCTTCGAGTACTCTTTATCATTCCTTTTTTCGGTTGACAAATACAAAACAAATATTTCGTACTTTGGATCACTGTAGTATATTCATTCTCATTGCTGGCACATATACCCCATTTGTACAGCGGTTTTTATGGTATCAGCGTATGACATTAGGTAGACATTCTTTTTGTCTTTAAAACAAACTTGCTAAAATGGCATTCTTAGGTCTCTTCATACTGTCAGTTATATGGTGTCTTGCATTGTTGGGCATCGTTTTATCCTCAGGTTTTTTAGAGCAGGACACTTTCACTAGGAAGGTAAGGAATTTACAAGAAGCGTTTTGTTTGGATATGATAAAGGACTCTATTTCTAGTTGCGCATCGTTCTAGCTGTAGTTATGGGCTGGCTAGTATTAGGAACAAGCAAGGTAGATAGTCTATTTTGGTTGGTGTCTTTTCTTTCACTTAATTCTTTTAGATACTAAGAGAAGAAATGCCTGATAGTTGCTTCCTTTTAGTTCTCATGGGAGGCATCTTTTATACCATAGGAATACCATTTTATGTAAAGGTGAAACAAGCATCTCGACATTTATATCGAAAGTTGAATACTTTGTATAGGGTCAGAAGATAACATTGTATCACGTCTTGTGGCATCTTTGGCTTATGCTTGGAGCTTGTTGTCACTATATCGCCGTGGAACAATATGTTCTAGAGCCGCTTCCTCCACTTATTTCTTAGCGCTTATTGGTGCGGTTTACATCCTTTGGCCGTACCTCCTCAGGTTTGACTGCGTGCAAGAGAATGTAATTTTTGGCGTTTGGATCTCTATTCTCTACTCCTTGGCTCCAGTCGTAACCTACTGCATAACCGAATATTGTGCCTAGTTTCGAACATATTCGCTTTTGTTATCTTGGTTTCAATAACATTCTTACCATCGTGATTAAAAGCAGTACAAGTTATGGGTTGGTTCACTTGTTGAAATTGATGCAAACGCATTTTTGAGTCTTTGTCCCAAAAGTTGAAGTATCCATCTGATCCTGCAGTGGAAAACGTCCCAAATACAGGATGAAATGATATAGCATTTACTGCAAAAATCCGGTTGTTTCTGTCACGATGACATTTGTAAGCAAAACTTAGTTTTTGATCCGCTTCCTTCACATATAAATTCACTCTCTGAAACAACTAGTATACGATATGCACTACTTACCTGAATATATTCTATGCCCACTCGACCTTCTATACTTCCCAATGCAAAACCTGTCATATCTGTGAAAATAGCGACGCAACGTGACTGATAGCGCATAGGACTTTCTTTATCACGATAAGGAGTAGTTGGATTGCGGATATCATAAACTAAAGTACGACGATTTGCGGTTGCAACAACCAATACTGGTCCCAAGACGTCCATGGCATATACTCTCTCGGGCAACGTTACCGTCCTATTTCATACGCTATTCATCACTAGGTTACAAACAAATGGTCACATACCCCAAAGGTGTATTGGTAGAAGCTCTTGGATCCCAATATTTTAAAGTTTTGTCCCAGGACCCAGTAACGACTGCTGGAGAACCCGTTCCCAGGTCTGAAGCAAATCGAACGCAACGAATAGGGGCGTCGTGTTGAGCTATAGGCTGAACCTACATTTTAGAACATGTATGACAGATAATTGGCAAGTCAAGAAAATCTCGAACCTGATTGGTAGCAGGGTTCCACATTTTTCCAGTTCTTTCACAGCCTACGGAGAATATAGTCATCCCATCTGCACTCCATGCCACATCCAAAACTGGAGCTTCGTGTTGAATCATACCAATAGGACTGGTATCTCCAGAAGCCTGGATCTGCCAAAGTCGAACTTCATTATCCCAAGAACCCGCTACAATAAAGTTGTTCGGTGCCAGTGCCTTAGGCGAAAAAGCGATAGAAGAAACGGTATCGTTTGGTGACTGATTAACTAGTTTGTCGTTGTTGGGGTTATGGATACCGGCAGTTACACCAGCAGCACTTGCTAAAGAAGAAGTGCCGGGGTTCCCAAAGGAGCTTCCAAAAGTCGTCATTGCCAATCATCGACAAAGGCACACACACTCCTTGACGGCCAAAACCGATGAAATGTGTTTGAAGGAGCGATTTTGCATGCCCTTGAAATCTTTTTAAGGAAAATCGTAAGTAATTTTGTGCATTCTTTCAAGTTTTTCATAACATCCAAGTACCTGAGTAAGTTTTTCGAACGAAATGCGCAACTGCTTGCTATCCTCTTTTCATATTCTTCCCTTCAAAGCGTTCCCCCACCCATTGATCTCTATTCTCAATTGTCTGTCATCCCCTGCCATTGTGTGAGAAACAACGACGACACAGTAGCTGTGGCATATTGTCTATCGTCTTCATGTTTTGTTTTACTTATGCGTTGGTTTACGATCGTACTACTGCTAAGTTAGGGCAGGTTCATGTTCATTCAAACTGCTTGAATAGAAAAATTCATCTCCACTTGCCAAAGAATTCCATTGTTGGTAGTCCTCTGTTTCCTAGTCATACTTTGAAAACGAATCAGTTGAGAGTCGTGAAGAGTCCACATCAACTGAACACTCAAACAACGTTTTTGAGAGCATCCTTGGAAACCAATAAGGTTCATACCAAGGAGATCTTTATGCCAGCTTTGAGTTCTACCATGACAGAAGGAAAAGTTGTCAAGTGGCTGAAGAAAGTAGGAGAAAAGGTATGTTATTATTGTTTGGTTTTTGTATATACTTAAGAGTAGTTAGATTGAAACTGGGGACATTGTCATGGTGGTAGAATCGGATAAAGCTGACATGGAAGTGGAAGCTTTTGATCCTGGTTATTTGGCAGCTATTTTAGTGGATGAAGGAGGCAGTGCTCCAGTTGGCAAGACTGTTGGTTTAGTGGCAGAAAAGTTGGAAGACATTGAAAAAGTAAAACAATGTGGCTTGGACTGTATTGACTCAGGTTCATCTTCAAGACATGACGGAACAACTGCTTTGGAAACAGTAGAGTTCTTTGACTCGAAAGAAGATTCTGACTTTGAGCAAAGGTTTTCTTCGAATGGCTCTGCAGAGCAGAACGCTATGAAACTACCCGAACACGTTCCGATATTGATGCCAACACTAAGCTCAACCATGACAGAAGGAAAGATAGTACAGTGGCTAAAGAAAGAAGGAGATTATGTGAAAAGTGGCGAAATGATAATGGTCGTAGAATCAGACAAGGCAGATATGGAAGTAGAATCGTTTGATGAAGGTTATTTAGCACATGTGCTTTATCCAAACGAAAGTA